ATTCTTCCCTTTGAGTATCTGCCATGAGGCAGGGCAGGTTTTTCCAGTGTGCTACAGTAGCTTGGTGCAATGATTTTTTGCCATGATTTTAAGATCAAGTTCAGCATACACCACTACTTGAGTAAGCTGCGGTACACGTTAGCAATAAAGTCCTGCTGCAAATTTCAATGGTGAATTTGAATTACCCATGGAAATCAAAGAACTTGGTGTATCTTGGAAATAGAAACTTTTACTGATTTGAATTTTCAATTCTAAGAATGTATAGCTCGCATTCAATAAAAATATAGGATAAATGGTGATTTGGGCAGAAATAAATACAAGATGTAGCTTAGAAGTTCTTAAGGAAGACAATTTTAACATTTCTGTTCCTTAGTTGGTCTTTGAGCATTACAACAAGTGTTTTCTCTTCCTCCCCACACCCCCCATAAACAGCACTGGCACTTCACCTCTCCTGGGCTAACACTTCAGTCCATGAACACTATCTTCCTTCCAGGATGGAGAGCACTTTAATTTGATTCCAGTTAAGCTGCCTTGTATCAGATCCTCTTTACAATGACTTCTGAAAAGCAAATACTTATTGGGACTACAGGATTCTGCTCACCACCACAAATTCTACATAGTTACTATAAAGTCATACTTGTAGGACAGCAAACCCCTACATTAAAACAAAATTACAAGCCAGATGCTTACCATAAGCAAAAGCCTGAAACATATACCTGGGCAATACCCCTCTGACTTCACTGCTCAAGTAAAGAACAGAGAGGACAGGACATGGCCCCATTAATTTTTATGAATTAACCCCCAACCCCCCCCCCAAAAAAAACAAACAAAAGGCTTTAACATCCTAAAAACTAATTTCAAAAAGCACTTTAAATTATTTATGAGCAATTCTATTAATTTGAAAAGAGCCTAACAAAGGGCAAAACTGTTTGAGAGAACTATATACATCCTCACGTCAATTCAGGTCAAAATTCAAACCATGCAATCATTTACCAGACCCACGACAGTGAGGCGTGGGAAGGCTCATCTGCCTGTTCACATTCTGACATAATTCACTTGAGAGACACCAGACAGGAATAGAAGACAAAGGGAGGAGTATGACCACTGAAGTTTAACTTCCTCAATAGTCTGTGTTTAGAATGCTGTAAATCAAGGGTTTTTTTTACTTTAAAGTTTTCTTTAGAGAAAGTTTAAATCCGTTTGTTTCTCTTTTTTTCTTGAGAAGCAAATGTTCTTCATTGGGGTACAGAATGGCTCAGATGCAACAGACGGGTAATGTCATGACTTGCCAGTTAAAATTGACATCTGGGAATGTCCAAGACAAGGGTCAAAACAACACAGAATACCCCAATAAGGTAGCTAGTAATGCCCCCAAAAGATAAATCCATATTTTTTTTAAACAGCCTCTATTACAAGGCATGAGAATTCTACGGCAAATTGTTCATCATGGCAGAACATCAAATTAAAACATCAAGACAGAAACAAGCAGAATACAGAGAGTATGTTTGTGTTCTCTGTAGCAAGAAGTCAGTTTACTGTGCCACAGCAGTGGATTGATAGGCCTCATTCCTAGTCAAATAGAATCTTAAATTAGACTAAGATGCTTGAGATCAAAACCATTTCCCTACATGTCTGCACGCTGAATATTCCAGTGTGGCTGGATCCTTACAGAACAGCCTTTAGAAGGACTCCATAGCGCATAATAAAAAGGAACCAAATTAACACCATTGTAGGCTCTGCTTCCTTCTCCACATTACGTGAGCAGATTCGATTTCAATTAGATCTCTGTGAATGTTTGGACACATTGCAACACTTTGAAAAAAGCAACAAAAATAAAGTTCCAAAATTAGATGCTGGTAAGTTACTGAACAGCACTTAAACAAAGAGCGCCCTTTGGGCTAGCTGTAATTTCTCCTAGTTTTCAGTCTGATGTCCACAGTGCTACATGTTGGAAAGCACAAGAAATTTTGCACGAATTTGATCACTCACATAGGCAGTTCAACTTTGAAAACAATGTTTTTCGCAAGGATTACCAATGAAAGAATGTTTTAGGACACAATTGAATTTGAAATAGGTAAATGTTTTGAATAGATTTTTGAGTTTTATTGAAATCTTACATGAACAAGAAATTGGAAATACAATCACATCAAGGAACAAATTGCCACGGCTTTGACGTTTGTTTTTTTTTAAGCCAAACAAATTTTGTAGGGCAGATTTTCAAAAAGGTGTGAAGTTATAACAATTTAAAAACACAGTTAACCTACTTCTAGGAATGCAAAACATACAATCATGTTATTTTCAATACAAGAAAACTTAATTTGTTGTAATTTCTTAAAACTACTAAGACAAAGCACTAGCTTTTACTTTTATGTACAGCATACTCCTATGTAGTCTATCCCAAATCCAAAAAAAAAAAATTAAACAAAAAAATAAAAATAAACAAAAAAAAAACCTGTCCAAAACCAGAGGTTCTGCAAAATCATGATTGAACAGTGTGCCATTCCTGCTTTTAAACTGCTAAAATGAAGCTAAAATGATAATAGCATTGAAACCCCATATGGAGTTCAGGAATTCTGCAAGCCCAGTAATGTCCAAGTGCGTTTATGAAAAAAGAAAACTAAGAGACTCGAGTATATACACAATAGAGTGATTCTTCAGCCCATTACAAATGGCAGCCAATCGCTACTGAAGGATGAAACATTAAGCCAATTTTGTTTTGAAGGATGTAGAGCTATTGCCAATTCTATGTTTCCAATATTCTCAATCCCTCCTCACTTGTCTACTTCCACTGTTGCCCATAAGTATCCTGATAAAATTCTTGGTTGTCATTATTGTAACCATAGTTACCGGCATAGTCACCACCTTGCTGGAGCGGCTGTTGAGCGATGGGTTGGGAGCCCCAGTTCTGCTGGTTGTTGGTCTGACGGCGCTTGGAATCAGGTTGGTTGTACCCATCTGCCTTTCTCTTGCCTCCTACGTTGCCCCCTCGGTTGCCCCTGGCTCCACGAGCACCACGTCCTCTCTGTTGCTGTGCAGGACCCCCTCTCCCACCCCTGGCTCCTCTCGGCGGTCCCATGGGTGCCCCCCTCTGTGAATAGCCAGCTCTACCTCTTGGTGGTGGTGCTCCCCGCCCCCTAGGTGGTGGAGGGGCACCTCTCCCACCCCTTCCTCCTCCTCCTCTTCCTCTTATAGCATAGCCATCATCATAGCCGTAATAGGGATCTTCATAGCCACCACGGTAGTCATGATAGTCATAACCATAATAATCATCATAATAATCTTCATAGCCATAGTAATCTGGGGGATAGCCATATCCACCTCTCCCTCCACGGCCTCTGCCTCTAATAGGAGGTGGCATGCGAGGTGGAGGGTAGTAATAATAGTCTTCATACCTATTAAGAAAAAGAAACATGCAATTATTTATCTTCAAAAGTCTCCAAAAACACAGCATAAACTCCCCCTTGTTGATTAATAACACACAACACAGAGAAAAGGCATTCGGGTTCTTCTAAACTAGCTCATATTTTACAGCCAAACTTTACTCTGCAGTGATAGAGTAGTGCAAGAATGAACACTCACGCAGTATTTCTGGAGGCCTGTCTGGCAGCCTGACGTTCTTTCCTTTTCTTATCCGGTGGCTTTGCTAACACTATTTCAATTTCTTCCCCTTCTATCTCTTTCCCATTCATTTCATTCATAGCCTGTACAAAAATTAGAAGAGAAACAGCTAAAAATTTGTTTCCATTTAAAAGGGAACAAACTTAGTGAAAGAAAACAGATGGCTGGGCTGCTCCAGGCTGACCTATGCCATGTGCTTCACTGCTGTGCTACCTCAACAGAATGTTAGGTAGCATTCTTTCAAGTCCCACCATTCACAGTGAAGCAGCATTTAAGAAGTTTCTATTTATATCATAAAGGAATGGGATTAAAACATATTGAGCATTAAACAAACCAGACGTAACTCCATGGCTTTTTATGTTCCTATATCCCCTAGAAACATTTCAGAAACACACTGACAGAAGTTTTCATTACTCACACTGATACAAACACTCACTGGGTTTATAAGCCAGGTAGAGCACACACACACACACAGAGAAGAAAGTATTTTTACAGCTGGGCTTCCTGGCTGGTTGAATGTACTACATGAGTGCCTCTGAGGACATCGAGTGTATCTGAGGACACAGACTTATGGGAAAAGACAAAAAATTACTGAAAGTTGTTAATTTCATCAAGTGAGACAAGATCCTCCAGAAAAGTAATGTGCCATTTGTAATGATCAAGTGCACATACAAAGAGAACTTCATACACAGAGGATGATTAGGACTACACCCACTAATTCTTCACCTGGAGTTACCTGCTTTGCATTTAACATTTATGGGTATTAATATTTGCACGCCTGTACAGCCACATGCCTCAAAACCATCAGACACCGTAGCAATTGTTTTCAAAGAAGGTATGAAAAGAAGCAGACACGGAAATCAGTGAGCCAGTTCCATACACTGATACCATGATGCTTTCACAAAAACACAAACAACACACCCATACACAGAAATATCTCATGAAATTCATAAACCAGTTTAGTGGCCATAATTCATTCACATGGGGCAGATGTGGCAGTATTCCAGCTTGTTTCAGAGAAGGCGAGCATCTGATGCTCTGCTGTGCCGCACTTGATCTCTCCTTTCTCATCTGCTGTTTTCAGTTGCTCAGATATAACAGAGCATTTACAATTAAGGTCTACTGGGAAAGGACTGGAGAGTGTTAAAGACCTACTACAATAAAACATGTCAGGAGGTCTTGCTGACTTACCCTTTCTGTCAACAGTCTCTTACCCTCTTTTGGACATGGTCTAAACCTACCCAAACTGACTTCAACTTCACCAAGTATGAGTGACATTCATCCTGAAGCCAAACTCAACTGCATTGTAAAACCATATTCTGATGGGTAGGAAAACTGTAAGCAATTAAATGGTTATAAAGTTGTTAATAAAGTTGACTAAAGAGCCTCTGAACTGCCAAGGTAGCCACACACACTGCATACAATAAATATACTCGCTCAAGACTCCCAGCTGCAGAACACTTCCCTCCCCTCCTCCTTCCCCCCATAAACTATGGCTTTGACAACAGATGGAGTAATTTCCATAGAAGTACAAGCAGCAGAGATTAATGACCTTTTCAGCTGCTCTTAGATACAAAAGAAGACACCTTTGAAGCTTTAATAATAACCTTAAGAAGAAACCTCCTCAGGAGCATGTACAGTTCAAAACAGGTAACGCACTAAAGGAGTTGTTAGTGCCACTTCTCTCCCCTGCACAAGGAGATTCTGAATTACTTCGCAATTTCTAGTCAATACCTTGGCACTGCAAAACTACACACTTTAAATAGGGGTCTTTGAGAGACAACTGATACCTTCTGTCAGTGTTTCCTCAGAAATATTGTCTAGGTTGCTCTTTTTTTACTTTCCTCTTCTCTAGACTCTCCTGCATTGGTCTATACCTCTTTTCCAGTCTACTTGTTAACTCTGCAAGTTTCACATCCTCCTAGCTACTGAAATCATAGGAACAAAATTATTAGTGTTAAAATTCTCACAATGGGAACCTTATTCAACGGGGTCTACAAATTGTCTTATCTAGACATTAACTGTTAACAAAATTGCTTAAACCCACTTGTACAACATCAACTGCTCGTATCGATTTAGTTAGGAAAGAATATTCAACCTACCTTCACTGCTGCACCTCTGTCCTCAAAATGAACAAAAGCATAATCCTTCAACTTCTTTACTCTTTCCAGCTTTCCAAATTCAGAAAAGGATTTCTCCAGGATTTCTTCTGTCACAGTCGTGGCCAAATTTCTTACAAATAAAACTTTCACCTGGTGAAAAAATGACAATGAAAGTTGAAATCTTTGAAGTCAAACCTCAAAGGAAACCAACAGAAAATAGTGAAATGTTGTTCCCTTCTCCTCTCCATTAACTTATTTTGGGTAACCTTATAAAAGGTTCTCTACCTATTAAAAATAAAGAAGTAAATAAAAATGGCCTCAGTTACCTGTATGAGGTTTCTACAACTTCTTCCACAGTTCCCTTCCATGACCAGAAGAATATCCAACTTTCAGTTTCTGTTTCTGGGATGCTACCCAGTAAAATCTTAGTAACAGACTTCAAGAGCAGCAAAGAGTTATCCCAGAACAGAGGGACAAAGAGCACGTCATTCCCTACGCTGAACTTCATCTTCACCTCACTCTGGAAAACAGCTTTACGAAACACCCACCTCACATTTATTATCCACAGAAACATACAATGGACAGACTGATGTGCCAATCCAGGAGGACAATCCTGCACACTAAGAGTTTCAGTGGCAACAGTATGTTCTGAACATCTTACAATGACAACCAACCTGCTGTGCTCAGCCCGTGCCATGGCCTCTAACTGCTTTTTCTGCCTCAAAACTATCATTGCTCAGCAGAACAAATCATTGTCACTATGGCATAAAGAAGTTCTTCCCAAAGCACAAGAGTATCCAGTTCAGTTTTTACTTACCTTTGCCATGACTTCTGGATCAGGTTCCTCTACTGGATCAGCCCATTCCACTGTCACAACGTTTCCCCAGACTTTTACTTTGCCACTCATGAGGCGGCGGCGAGCTTGTGCTGCTGACTTGTGATCCTCATATTCCAAGAAGCAGAACCCTCGATTCTTCTTTTTATCATCAGGTTGATGATATAAGATTACATCCACCAAACCCTCTGAAAAACAGGTCTTTAGTATTAAGCTTCAAAGGGAAAGAAAAAGTAGTACAGTCTACTCTAAAATGCCTTCACTGGTTTTTGTACTACACAGCCTTTGAATGTAGCACCTGAAAGGGGAAGGGAGTACCAGAAAAGCAGAACAAACAAGAGATGTCCATTCAATTTACCCAGAAAGAGGTCACCTAGCAGGTGAAATTCTCCAAACTTACCTCGCACTTAAACTCTGCAAAACATCAACCTGAACAGTTCACACAGTGCAAGTTCTCTGTCTTTTGTTTAAACCAGTTTTACACTTTTGAGCAGCAGTCAGCATTTACAAGTGGCATTTCCCCTGCCTTCAGGGGAAGCTGGAAAGAATTCCTTCCACATCTCTCCAAAAAAAGGAGAGACAACTAAATGAAAATTCACCTTCTGTTTTCAGCACTTCCCTGAAGTACCTATAGATAGCAATCCTAAAAAAGAAGCAGTAGGTTAAAACTTTCCTACAGGAATAAGAGCAGGCGATCAAGACCTCAATCTAATATTTAAAGCAGAATCCTCCTTCCAGTGATGAGCTGACTTGTCTTTTTCCTGCTTGTGGCATATACTGAGGAACAACACTGAAGAACTGGGACAGAAATTTACCTGTCATTAACCATTTCTATAGTACCATTCCATATAAACTGATTCAGTATTCGCTCTTCCCATCATTCCTCAACAATACATTTGAGGCTCCCCAAAAACATCTCAGCTGTGAAAGCAGCTTCAGTTACAAATACACAGGAAGCTGGAACAGGTAACAGAACTGGGACCATTGATTTTTTTTTCCTGAGATCATTTGTGCTGTTTCCATCCCAACAACAACATTAATTTAGCAATCAGTTAAAACAGACACTAAACTGTTTATATTCCACCATCAAGTACCTTTGAGAGATAAAATTTCTACCTGAAACAAAACTTGGAATCCAACCTGGAAACAGCTTTAATGATAGCTGAACACATCTGTCAAATAACCAGACCTACAAAAGAGACTGAATGGCATTTTAGGATCAGTGTGAAAGAGTCATTAAGCCTCACCTGTGACTTTACTGAACTCTTCCAATATGTTTTCTTTAGTCTTGTTCTTTGGAATTGACCCAACAAATAACCTGTTGTTTGCCACGGAGATGCATACTCCAAGGTGCTTCCCAGGACGGATTTCATAGTTGTCACACTGAGAAAAAAAAAAAAAAGGCCACTCATTTGCTTTAACCACAATAATACAGATAAAAAGATCCCCCAAATCACAGTATCAGCTATTTACTTCATTGTATACTACTTTAGACATAGTATTTTGAATTATTTTTTGATCCAGGGCCCCAGTCAGGTTCCCGTCTCTCATTTTCACTCCAGGGATTGTCCTGTGTCCATTGCCAAACCATGCAGATGCAGGCCAAGTCAGCGCTCCGTGTAGTCAGCTGACTGTAGAACTGCCATTGGAAAGAAATAAAGGCCACCACAAACCACAGTGCACCAAGGCAGAGACCTCCTCCAGCACAGCAGCACAATGAAGCATCTGCAATGAGCTCTTTATAGCAAGAAGTGTGATAAAACTTAAACACAGTGAAGCTTAAAAAATAAAGTAAGCTCTTAGTATAATCACGCAAGTACTCCAGCAGACTGGTCCTAAAAGTGGGTTATTTGTATACATTGAATGAAATCAAGAGGCAGTTTTTAAGAAAGGAAGATTTGGAGTCTCTCAATGGATGCTTTAACAAAACATCTCAAAGACTTTATTACCTCAAATTACCAACATGCTGTTTACATTATCTTGTCTGTTGGAAAGGAGGTTAACTCACCAGTTTGACTGCTTCCTGTGCTGCATCTTTACTACAAAAGGTAATGAAAGCGTAACCCCTGTTCTGACCAGAAAGAGGATCCATCATGAGGCGCAGATCCCAAATGGGACCAGCTTTCTCAAAGAGTGGTACCAGTTCATCTTCATACAAGTCCCGGGGAATCTTACCAACAAAAACCTAAAAAGGAAGAGGACATTTATTAAACCAAGCTTTTTAGAAATCCAAACTGTTGACACTTAGTTCTTGGGAAAGGAGATACATAGCCCAGAACCCATCACAGCAGAAACACTGCAGCCAGCATTCCAGCATCTCCTAATGAGTCTTCTAAACCTCCCACTGTTAGTACTCGGTTTTACAAAGAATCATAGAACAGTTTGGGTTGGAAAGGACCTTATGATCGTTCAGTCCCAACCCCTTGCTATGGGCAGGGATGCCTCACACTAGACTATGTCGCCCAAGGCTCTGTCCAACCTGGCCTTCAACACTGCCAGGGATGGAGCATTCATCACTTCTCTGGGCATCCTGTAAGGCCAGAGCCTTACCACCCTCACAGAAAAGAGCTTTTTCCTTGTATCTGCCCTGAACTTCCCGTTTCAGTTTAAACCCCTTAACTCTTGTCCTATAGCTACAGTCCCTGATGAAGAGTCCCTCTCTGACATCAGTCAAGTATCTTCAGTCATGAATAGAACAGAATAGCTCAGTTGGAAGAATGTTAAGGGCATTATCCAAATGCTTCTTAAATACCAACACACTTAAGGCATCGACCTCTCCAGGAAGCCTGCTCCAGTGTTTGAACACAAACAAAAGCCAATAAATAATTCCTTAATAATTACTAATCTCAGCCACCCCCTTCAAAACTTTGTATGTGACTTTATATAATACCAAAGTCTTCTTCACTTTCTGCACACTGCACAAAATAAACCATGCTGCTGTCACCTGAAGTCCTTTTATGTTGTAAACAAAGACCTACAAGTCAGGGTTCTACCTACCTATACAGCTAATACCCACAGTGGTCACTTTTTAAGTGATGCATGATTGGTTTTAGTAGGGTGGATCATGAAGTCTGACAATTTAATAATCTATTTTACATCTTCAAAATTCTATGTGGCCTTTCCTACTATATTCCACCTGCTTTCCCAACATCATCCTATGATCTGCCTTTTGCAGGATGCTGTTGAGTAAGGAAGACTAAGACACACATGGAAGAATGTTTTCCTCTGCAATGCTTTAAGCTTTTGCTTGTAATACAGTTTATTGTCATGTATTTCTTACCTATCAGTTTGCACAAAAATACAGCACAACAGTCAGATTAGGCTGTAAATACTAACCTCTGTTCCAATGCCAGGCTGAACACCAGAATATACGGTATCTGGAGGAGGGCCCCCATATTTCCTCTGTCCTGTAGTTACATCCAAAGTGTAACCAGTTCTCTCTAGCAAAGCCTGAAAAAGCAAAAGATTAGTCACATCAGTTACAGGGGGGAGGATAATAAATAAAATACAAAGAATAACAAAAAATGGCCTAAAATAAGCACTTCCTTATCTGCTCCTTGCCACAAGATACATATGGACAGAGAGAACCTACAAAAAAACATGTTATTATGGGTGTTTAAAAAACCACCACCACAAACAGCAGCATTTTTATACTACAAGGTGACTGGAAATAACTCTCTATTTTCCCCTTTATATGTAGTACCCCGAGAACTCCAGTATACCAGGCCATAGTTAGGTTTTTGCACAACAGAAGAATTCCCTAATACACTAATACCTTGTTCAAACCAGTCTCAAAGTAATGTTATGAGTGTGTAAAAGCTTTAATATAAAAGGACAACTAAGACAATTCTTACACAGCAGTGTTTTCACAGACCTTACGTAAGTTCATACATTTTGGCAATGATGTCATCAGGAAGATCTGCATTTCAAACAAGTACACTCCCAAGTCTCTATCATGCATACACGTCTTTAAAGCCAAGTGTGAATAAACTACTCCAGGGAGCATTGATGCTTTTTAAGTACATCCAGAATTACTTGAGTCTCTGTACAGGTGATGTATCTGGTAGTACAGACTAATCAGTAGCTTCTAAATGTTACCTTAATCTTTGCTTCATCTGGTCCCTTCGTTGATTCCTGTACTTTGCTGCCTTGTTTCTCTCTTTGCCTGTAGGTCTTCATAACTCCACATAAAAATGCACTTTTGTTCTGTAGATACAATTTACAAAATAATTCAATTGTGTGTATGACAAGCCCTGGGAATCCACTGAATCTCCCTCCAGACCATGAGGTCACTATATCCTACCAATGCAACAAACAAATCCTTTAGCAAAATGTAACAATCAATTGAACAAACTTGTCAGATTGGAAAAACTGGTCAGATTCCAGAGAGCATTTTTACCTTATTTTCTTATTTGCACATTCATTTTTATTATCTGGGGGCTTTTGCTTTGCACTCCAATACCTACACATTTAAGGCAATTTTAAACAGGCTTGTGATTTGGGCTTGAAATACAAGAATACAACAATATCAATGAATTTTTAAGTTACAACTCTCCTGCCAATAGTGCCAGAACACTCTTTATACTTATGTGCTCATACTCCTGGAGCTCTCACCTTACCTGTACATGCGACAGGTCACTTTCTTTAAACTGCTGTAATACAGAGAGGGCTCCTTCTTCATTAAATTCCCTAAGAGCATCAATTGCTCTTTCATCAAGATCGACATAAGCTACCAACCCTAAAAGTTAAAGATAAAGAAGTTACAGATTTCTATTGAATTTCATACAAACTAAGAACTATGCAGTTTGCTTTTAAAGTCAAAAAAGTTACGTTCCATAGCAATAGAATTATACATTTAATATAATTACATATTCCTACACAAGTATATGAAAGAACATGAGTACAACAATGAAAAAAGTTAAATTAAAATGTATATACCTAAGCACTAACTAATATACAAGATTATAGCCCATGTGTAAGAGTTGTCTAACATTCGGGAATGCAATCTGCTCCACAAAGGCAGTTATCACACACCAGGGTTTGAAACAATGACCTCTGGCTCACTTCCAGTAATTTGGAGTTTGTTTGTCTTTCGTTTTAAGTTTCACACTTTCCTCTCTTGAGTGAAGCTGTTCTAGAGTAAGCTGACGTGAGCATTACAAGTATCCGGTTTTACCTGAAAAAGGAGCTACCTGACTGACAAGCAGACCCTTAAGAAGCTGAGCTCCAGAAAATTTAAGGAGGTAGAATGTTTTGTTCCCTCTTTCCTCCGACTTCAAAGGCAAAAATCAGTGGACTTGCTAGATGTGTAAAACTGTGGTGCTCTATGCAGTTCCAAGAGCCAGAATTCAAAAAGGTATTATTTCGAGCCCTGCTATGTACCCGAAAAGGCTAACATTAATTTTACAGGTACAGAATCCCCCAAGAAACATTGGACCAGTTCTGAAACACTCTTTCTTTTTAAGGATCTTTACAGGTCATTTCTTTCCTTTTGTAATGCACTTGCATAAACTGTGGAGCGAGAAGTATAGACTTTAAGATTTGCACTTTTTAAACTACACAGCAAAATTTAGGAGAGATACCAAAAACTCCACATGCTTTGCAACAGCTTGACCTCCAAAATACAGATTGTTTCACTGCTACTTGAGTTCAAAAACGCACAGTAGTGCCAAGCCCAAGGACTACATTTCAGAAGTGATCCTGCATATTGGAAGGCACCTGTATCTCTCATGTAAGACCTCAGCAGATTAAAAATCCCTTAAATTCAACCCCAAATTTAGCTTGGGTGTCAGAAGTAGTTCGCTTCACTGACAAACCCCCGCACAAAGTGAACACCTGCAATGGCACTGAGGAAGTGTGAATAAATGCTTTCAGGTTACTCATGCAGTGGATTTACACTAGGTAGTCAGGTTCTGGGCTGAAAAGCTTTTAAAATCCCTTTAGAACTCCTCACAACACAACCTAACTGCAACACGTGTTACAGCCCCACAAGTTCCTCTGCCCAGGCACTTACACCTTGTCTCAAACCATCAAGTGCACATCATCGTGATCCACAGTTAGAAATTGTGTCTAAAGCCTATAAAAGCTGGTAAAGGCTTGATGAAAGCTCACAGTGAGTGACTTCCAAAGGACATCACCCACGTGAGCCAGAGTATCGTACTGAAGATGGGGAAGGTATTGGTTTTGAACTGCCTTCACTTGGATCAGTGGAGTTTTGACTCTCTTCAACAAAAACTGTCATCTTGCCACCAAGGCATTCAAGATAAGCGCATAGAGCAGTACTACTGCTTATGAATCTGTTCACAGAACACACTCTGAAAGAGGAAAAGGAAGCCTCTGGCTATAGGATAAAATAATAATAATAAGGCGGGGGGGTACAAAAACAAAATAGGAAAACCTTTGTATATAGAGAAACCTCTCTAGAAGTTGCAGAGACCACTTGCTACCAGCAAGGTATTACTCGGTTTGCTAGATAGCTTAGTCCTCAACTTTGTTAGTGTCAAACTGAACATTTCAGTGTAATAACCATCATGGATTAAACTGTCCACTCAAAACTAGAGAGAACAAAAAATCCACAGGCAGACTCAATTCAAATGTAGTCCCAGGCAAGACAAGCTAATTGCTTCCCTCGCTATGTTACCTATCCAGCCTTTGAGTGTTTAAGAACCACTGTGAGGAGTTGACAGTAGAAAAGGAAAAGAAAAATGATGTTTCGGATTGAAGGAAAAAAACAAAAAATGTACAGTTTAGTATTCTCAAACATACATCTTTATTTGACAACGTCTACAACTAGTGCTCTGTGCCCTAAAGCAACTAAGATATCACATACAACACTAAGGATGTGTCAAGTAATTAGTCAATGTCAAACCCAATTTGCCTTTAGGGAAGTCAAAGTAGCAAAACATTCAGAGCTACACAGATCAAAAACAATGAATTTTTAAACCTTAATCTATAAAAAATTTGAAAATGGTATGCCCTCACTTTCATAACCAGTCAGAAACAAGAAATGCATATTATACCTGTCTGAAATATTTCATCAAGTCTCTCTGCCACCTTCTGTGGGAGGCCTGCCTCTATCAGTGTCTTGTAGTGCTCTGTGTGAGTTACACTGGAAGTATCCATTGGTTCTTCCTCTTCTTTTAACTGTACCGCATTACCATTCACCTGATTAGCCATTTTATTATGCTGCTGGAAAAAATTCAGGAGCTATATTACAATAAGCCAGAAATAACTAGTTTGTAGGACAATGCATGATTTATCTAAACTAATTTGTATACATGCTGCAAATGACCTGTATCAAAAGTTTTATTTAATACTTTCTGGATGCAGCTGATCTAAGTTTCAAAAGAAAGTAAAACCCTTAATACTATGGAAAATGTACATGGAAGAATTGACATGATTTCTTTAAAAATGTACTTCATGTACATAACAAGGTCTAAACTTCACTGTCGGTAAGTTACTGGTTACCAGCGCAGCTAGAATGTACGGGGACACGAGAACATCCTTCAACCAAGAGCCAGAAGAACTAGTGCTATTTTCATTTCCCATTCCTCTACTTCGAAAACAATCGTTCAAAACGCAGTGAACACACAACCCTGCAGGGTAGCTTCATGGATAAAAATGTCAATACTTGTTTGCTAGTTTTTGCTTTCTTGGCTTGTTGCCATGTTTTCCTTCAAACCCAGCATGCTGCAGAAGACTAACCCAACACTTCCCCACAACACTGGTAGGACTCAGGAAGGAGAGAAAAAGAGTAATTGCACTCTACCACACATTATAATTCAAAACTGCAACTGAGGTGTTTCCATGTTTTCAGTTTTACTGAAATAGGAGCTCTACTAATCACAGCTACTTTTATAATACGTAACTTATTGGTTTAAAAGGAAGCCATGACTGCAGCATCTTCAGTTCTTGTATCAATAAAAAGACTTGCTTTCAGAATGAACAAACTGATTCCAAGTATGTGCACTGAAAAATGCACAACTATCTTCCCAGACAATTCCAGTGGGCTATGCCCAATTCATTACAACCAGTTTCAATTTCTCAATTCGCCAGCCGACTGATATTTAGTACTCTCAAAATAAAAAGGCTGACAAGAGACAATTCAACTACCCAGCAGAGAACATCAGGATGATCAGCTGTTAGCTTTAGAAACAAAATGAGCCTCAGGCTTCAAAAGATAGGGAAGAAGTCAATAATCAGAAGTGAAATGATAACCAGATAGACAAATGCAGCATGGTTGGAGCAACGCAATTAAGTACTGGAATACAGGTATGAGGACGATTCAAGAACAGTTGGGGTTTTTACACTGAAGCCTCAAGCTATTTACTATGCTGCAAAACGAGTCTCCAAACACAACCACACCTCTAGCAGCCACCCGTATACCCATCCCTTCTAGACTACAGCTCACGAGCTGCTGGAAGATATCCTATGAAGATTTGCAAGCTTGAGCAAGGAAAAAAAAAATCATTTTTCTTCAGACAGAAAAATAATGATTTTAATAAATGTGCCTTGACTTAAAGAGATGTAATGCAGCCTCACACTGTTTCTCTGTCAGGTACCACTTCTTTACACAATTAGTAAGGGAAAGTTTTCCTTAGCTACACAGCACATATACATATACACACACATTCTATCATCTGATGAAGAGAAACTGCTTTCTAGGCAATTCAGTTTACTTAGAAGTAACCATAACTATAGCCTGATGACTGAAAAAAAATGCCATCTGCAGAGCACTACTACAGTAATGTTTATCTATCACCACAACTGAACTCATCATAACTGAACTCTCAGACACTAACTGAAGTTTCTTTAGGTTACAAAGATAATGGAAACCAAAACCCATGCCTGCTTGCTAGCCAGCCTCTGCAAGATCGAAACAGCACAGGGGAGAGGACATTTAGTTAAACTGACAATGCTCTGGGAACAGTATCATTCCCATTGCCTCATCCCAAAAATGCACAGGACAATATACACACAAAAGATATATAGAGGGGGGTTCTTTGTGTTCTCCTTTTTATTGCCTTGTAAAATCAGTTATTTACACATACATTGTCTTCTCTGCACACAAAAGAAAACCGACCAAAACCCTGAGGCTAGGCCAATACATAAATACAGGAAAGTGATTTGAAACCATTCCAAGTACCTTCTAAACATCAACAGCTTATGGTGATGCTCTCAGACATTTCTTTCTGTGACCCCAGAGTGGCTTCCAAGTGTCACATACCTAAAAGCTCAGCACTGCTTTCAGCGTTGCCTGTAGCTGAACAGAAGGGTAACAGCTCTTCTGTGTCCAGGCAGAAAGCCTTCATCTGCACTTCAGTAACCCAGACATCTGACAGGCAAGATTTGCTGCCCAATGGCACGAGATCTCTACCTTCATCACAAACACACACCAGTCTGGGGAGCAATATCTAACCCCTAAGTAGCAGATTATTATACAGCACCACAGCTCATCAAATGCCTTTTTAAGCAGGTTTGTAGACAATGTAAATTAAGCCTCAGCATCTTAATTCACTAGCTTAAGAATTAGTATCCTCAAAGTCAAATGCGATGCGTGTTCACCAGCCAGAGAAGCGCAGCTTGGGTGCTCAAATTTTGGCTACTTCCTGTCACACAAACTCTTAAAGAAATCTACTCTGGACAATTCTGAACTGACATGATGTCAAAATATTCAGGCCTCAACAGCATCCAGAAGAAATACATTTCTTTTCACAGCTACAGTAACAGATTGCAAGCTTGGCCTGAAATCTGAGATTAGACTGCTTTTTCTTCCTGAATGATCACCAGCAAGCAAAACGACATCTCTTACAATACTGAATCTGCACTCTGAGCTCAGCAGAGACAGCCACAGCTGTAGAAGACTGCTTAGCTTGCCCTCTAGACAACATCAACTACATGTAGCTGTCAGGAAGATTCAACTGAATTTTATCAGAATGGAAAACACAAAATGATTTTATTAACATTGCTGGTTCTCCTCTAAAAAAATACTACAGGCATATTAAAGAAAAGAGTGTTATCTCTTTGCATGTGTAGCATGTCCACACGACTCAGCCCATGACAGCCACATGCACTCAAGGTTTTCATTTCAGTGAATTAAAACTCAAGTATCTAGGAAAGAGGGAGACTGGCTGAACTGAAAAGATTTTAAGTGTGGATTATAAGTAAAGGATTATGTATACCAGCATGTGTGGGATATTTATGTTTTTAAAACATGCAGAAATGGATGAATTTAAAAGAGCGCACACAAAAATGTGCTTACCAAGTGAGCAGCAGCAAAAAAGACACACTGAGGGCAACTTTACACAGAAGTTCCCCCGATACCTGAGAAGCTCCTGAGCTTCACTACCTCAGGACTGTGTGCATGGGGAAGGGAGGGGACTGTCTTGTTTTGAACTTCATGCTGTTGTTGCCAGCAATGTGAATACTTCATGATATAAACATGTTTTTAGCCAGCCACTCTCTTTCACCTTGAACTCCTGCACCTCTAAGGAGTAGTTTGCAAAGTGACTAGTCCCTTTTTGAAGCTTTCCTCAGATGACAAGTGGGAGGTGTTAAAACTACAGGTGCTTCTAAATTACCCAGAAACAACCTTCTTTTTCATGTTTAATAACTCAAATGGCTCAAATAGTATTTTTCCTAGAAAACAAAATATTATCACACACCTGAGCCTGATAGC